TGCGGTTGTAGTAGACGAGGAAGGGCGCGGGCGCGATGGTTCGCGATCGGTCGGTGCAAGAACTCCGTGGTCCTCGTTGTTTCCGGCAGTTCTAGTTGACTCGCGCTCGCTGCCGCATAGAGTTTGAGTTAGTGATGGTGGTTGGTTGGCTGATGGGAAGCTTACCGGGCCCTCAGCCTCTTGCTGTCCACCGCGAGGCGCGCTAGCTGCGTCTTCGATGGTGGCCGGCGCACTGCTTGAGGGGCTGGAGTGTGTTGGTCGAACGGCAACATTGATGACGCGGTCGACGATGAGGGCGGGGTACGATTGACGACGAGGGAGGGGTACGGTCCGCAGAGCGCATTGACGGCAAGGGTATGGGCAGGACGTGGTTAACGTGGATGCCAAGGATGGAGCGTGGTTGACGGATTGAGGTGGGCACGATGCGTGCTCAAGAGTGAGTGCACGGCTTTTTTGGGGGAGGGCGCGGTATGTTCGAGGACGACTGGAGTGTTTGGAGGCTCCGGCCGCTGCGGTCCTCGGATGCCGGTCGGGGTCGGTTGCAAAGTGCAATGTCACGGCTGAAGTCAAGTATTAGCGTGTTTGTTTCACGAAGGTGAGAGGGAAATTCTCGGCGTACCCTAGCCCACAGGGTATCAAACAAATCCGAGACCCGCACAGCGCCGTGAGGACGTGTAGATGATAGGGGAGGACGTAGGCAGGTCGCTCGGCGGACGCGGCAACAAGGCGCAAGGAGGGGCTCGACGTTCGCGCAGTGTCTGTTGTTCGTCACTCTCCGAATACGAGCATGTCGATGACCGCGGTGCATCTGCTTCGGGCGCAGGAGAGATCTCCCGGGACGCACGGTCCTCCTCCTCGAGGGCGAACGTGGCATTTCCCGGCGCGGGCTGAGAGGCTCCGGAGTCGCTGGAGCACGGTGCGCGCGCGCTTTCCCCCAGGCCTGAAACCGAGCGCTGAACTCGCTCGGTGGAGTGACGGGCGTGGGGTCGGCGTCGGGGTCCGTGCGTGAACGGTGTGGCCTGGCTCGGACATCCAACGGACTGTGTGCCACTTGCCACTGTACGTTGTGTGGGGGCAAAGGCAAGTGCGGGTCTGGGAGCCCGTGCGTGTATGCATGCTCGGGCGGGGGCGGCACGGCCGAGCGCTCGCGATCGAGGTGCGCGCCAATGTACGGGTAGTCGACGCGAACCGTGTCTTCGGGTGTCGCGGGTTCTTTCTTGGGCCTCTCCTTCGCCTTGGACTTGCTCCGCCGGAAGCGGTTGAGAGATGCCATGCGGAAGACGGAGACGAGGGACGTTGACGAAGGCGAGGAGGGCACGGCGAGCGATGGCGCCGAGGTTGGCGTGGGCGGCAGTGGCTTCTTGACGACAAAGGAGCGGGAATGCAAGGGAGATTGCGATTGAGAGTAGTGCGAG